TGCCCCTGCGGCGCCCCCCGGGCCAGCCGGCCCTGCGCCAGGAAGGGCTCAGGGAAGCCGCGCGCCGCCTCCGCCTCCGCCGCCTTGGCCTCGGCGCGGCCGCCCGGTGTCCGCGGAGGCCCTGCGCGCTCCTCGCCTGCCGTCTGCTCGCCCACTGCCTCACGCTCCCCTGGTGCCTCCGCGGCGGCAGCGTTGGGCTCGTGGCACAGCGAAGGCTTCCGGCTCTTCCTCTTCCTGCTGCCGGGTGAGTAGCCTGTGGAAGACATGGTGTCCTGCTGGCTGGACCACGACATGGCGTCGTCGGCCGGCGCCAGTGTGGGGCCGAAATCGGGGCCCTCCATGCTGCTGTAATCGCCCGACTTGACGTCGAGGCGCTGGTCGCGCAGCAGGCACGGGCTGTGCTGCAGCGAGTAGGAGCCGCCGATGGGGTTGGGCGAGTACTTGTGTCGCAGCCCTGTCTTCATCTTGGGGCTGGAGCCCGACTGCTCCACGTAGACGAGCTGCCGCACGTACTCCTTGCCGGCCGGGCTGTACTCGAGGCTCATGAACCTGTCGGGACACTTCTGCTTGGTGAGCACCAGCTGCTGGTAGGGCGAGTTGGAGCCTTGCTTGGGCGACTGCAGGAAGGGGTGAGGCTTGCGGATGGGCGACTTCTGTGGCGAGGCGGCCTTGTAGGCGCCGCTGGCCTCGTACTGCATGTCCACGGGTGGCTCGTCGTAGATGGGTGCCTGGTACTCCATGGGGGGCTCCTCGTAGAGGGGCGGCTCATAGGCGTAGCGAGGTGACGAGGGCTGCGACTCGCTCGAGTGCTTGCGGTGCTGCGCCTGCAGCGGCGAGCAGAAGGGCTCGCTGCGGGCAAGCAGCGGCGAGCAGCTGCCCACGTGCTCCGCGCGCTTGAGGAAGGGCGATGGCTTGCGCTCGGGGAAGAACACGGAGCTGTCGGCCTCCGCGGCGAAGGTCTGCAGGTTGGGCGATTGCTGGCCGCCTGAGGGCCGCCGCGAGCGGCTCCCCGGCTGGCCCTCGCCCACGTAGCCGTTGCCCTGGTGCATGAGGAAGCTGGGCTCGCGGTCGGTCACCTTGATGAGCATGCGCTCCTTGGTGCCGGCGTTCCAGCGCAGTGACGATGTCCTGCGGGCACAAACACAAGGGTGACGTCAGGATGCCCTCCTGGCAGTGGGCACGAAGCCCGTGTCCCACCAAGCACCCCAATGTGAAGCTATCGGGTGCGGAGCACCTTCGCACTGGGGACAGACACACACAGGCACTGGCCTCAAGCCGGGAGTCCCACAGGACCTCAGTGACCCCCTTGGGTGTTCCAGCTATGTGTGAAGGACACGGAAGCTGCCAAGTCCAGCTTGGAAGAGCAGCGACGGGTCCCTCAGAGCACAGCTCTGAGGTCAGCCTTAGTTACCCCTCACTGCTTGCAGCTGCTCACAGGGCCTGTCACACTGTGGGGTCATCCATCGCATCTACATGTCACTGGGGAGAACACTCAGAGCAAGGTGCCCCTGTTGGCACCTACCTGAATGCTATTTTGGAGGTGCCCACTCAAGATGCTGCGTCCCTGGAGCTGCACAAGGCAGAGCTCGGAGGCCACTGCTCGCAATCCCTCCAAGTGCGAGCCTCAGCACCTGAGCAAGGTCATAGCAAACAGCTCTGTCATGGATATTTGCCGGCTGCACGGGGAGAGAAGGAGCACGGTGCTCCCGGTCAGGTGCTGGAAAGAGGATGCTCCCATGAGGATCGACACTATTTTCTGCTTAGCTCCCGACAACGCGGGGATGGAGGCTCCTCACCTTGATTGCCATGGCACTTTGCAGTCGCCCCATTAGAGAGAGGGCTTAGGTTGGCACCAACCATCTCATTTAGGTGGGAAGGAAGAATGTGGCCACTGTCAGCAGAGTGGCTGGGTGAGAGAAGTCACCTTCACCCTAAGAGGCCACGTCCACAGTGGCCTTGGTCCCGGGCGTCGTGTGCAGACGGCCCGGGCAGTATCGGCAGCCCCTGTCATGAGCAAGAGTAACAGCTACGGAAACCCGGATTAGGCAGGCTCACGGAAGCGGGGGTATATTTTTCAAGAGCAAATAATAAAATATGAGGTCGCAAAACATCTGCAAAGGGAGGGCCTTCATGAGAGCACCCGCTCCAGCCACATCCGCCCTCCCTGGCAGAACATTTGTCAGAAAGGGTCCTAAAGCTCATCACACTTGGGGACTTCACATGCCCCTCTGGCAACCTCTTCTGGGGCTCAGCCAGCCTTACTGCCAGAGAGGTCCCTCCTGATGTTCGCATCTTCCTTATTGCAATTGATGGCCATTTATCCTTGTCCTGCCCTTAGTGGACACAGAATAAATTTATCTTCACCCTTTCCACAGCAGCTTTTCACACTTCCAGAGCTCCCTGGGTGACTCCTGTAGCCCCATTTTAGCCGTGCACATACGGGCGCAAGCACGTGCCGATAGGGACGTGGAAAAGGAAACAATGATCACAAAATCACCACTCAATAGGCAACTTATACTCACTGATCTGCAAGCTCTGCAAGCCATGGAGTAAAGACTGCTGCTCCAGCCCAGCCTAGGAGACCTCCTTCATCCCTACCCTCACCTGCACCTTAAGTCTCGTCTTCCCATTTTATATTTGCGGTAGGTAACGTTTTCTCTGAATAACGAGTCACCCCGCGCCGACGTGCAGCTGGATCCCCCGTCGTTTGCATTCCCGCGGCACATCCTCCGGTTCTGCATTTCAACTCTAATTGGAATTTGCAATGAAATGAGCATTTTTTTTCCTCTCTCTTTATTAATAATTCACAGACAGAAATAATTATAATCTCGGAAGAATCCTGGCCCCGCGAGACGAACGCAGGGGGACCGCAGTGCAGGGAGCTGCTCAGCCTGCGCCGGACTCATGGGACTCTGGCTGAGCTGATCCAACCTCCTCCTGGGGACCCCTGAGATATCCTGAGATCAGCCAGAAGGTGCAAGGAGAGGGGAGCCAGGGGCTCCTCAGGGCTCCCAGAGACACGAGTTCCCCTCTGCTAGGGCGGCTTGGAGCCAGCAGGTTGTTTGCAATGGGAAAATTCTCCATGGTTAGCATCAAGCTTTGGACCAACTCGTGACCTCAAGTTACCACCTTCTCACGACACGAAGTACAAAGCCCTTAGAGGAACAAGACTCCAGACAGCCTTGGGCTTCAGCCTTAGCCATCTCCACCCTGTTAGGGCCTTCAGTGCAAACCCGGCTACATCTGGGATGCTGCTGGAGAAGGCGAGGAGGAGGAAACACTGCAGAGCAGCGCCAGAAACTTGGGCAAGAGCCAGGAAAGAGAAGGCTTCCAACAGCAAGTTGGACCTGGCCTGAGATGCAGATCGGGGCTGTGTCAACCCTCTCCTTCTCCAAGAGGGACACCCTGCATCAGCTGTAGCCACGTTACCCTGCCAGGAACTGGCCTGAGAACCTGCACGTGCTGCTGGTGTTCACATCAAGTGACTGATGCCAAGAGACTCTTGTTTGCTGCCAGCTGAGTACTGTATTTCTTGCTCCTGGTGACCTGAAAGCGGAAGAGCCCCACGGCTTTCATTGATTCCATCTAATTGCACCCTCTTCTTATGCCAAAAGCCCAGAAATGAGAACATAAGTGCCCAGCAGAAGAGAGTCTTCCTGTTACTTTTTGACACTCATGTCCAGACTCGAGCACCGCAGACAGTGGCTCCCAAAGGTTGACCTTGGCCAAGAGCCAGCCTTTGCTTCAGCTCCAATGTAAGATGTTCTGCCTGTACTTTATCAGTCTGTATTTTACCTGTATCTTAGACCTCGAGGACCAGAGACGCTTGCTTTGCTAAGCGCTTGCTCCTGCCACATACAAAGAACCAAAGAGAAGCCTCTTATTTTGATATCGAGGACGTTTGGGTGTATCCCACACACCTCTGATTGCACAGGTGGAATAAAATTTCCTTATTTTTCCTGAACTTCCCATGTTACCCTATCAAGTGGGACTTAAACCTTCTCCACAGCAAAGTGTGGCTACAGCAAGATCTCCTGCAACATGTCCAGGATATCTCGTTGGGATCTTTGTCCCTAAAAGAAGCAGCAGGGACACAGAGATCTCCAGCCATCTGCTCCAGCCGGGCCACTATCCAGGCTGGGCTTCCTAGCTCGGGTGCAAAGTGGAGGCAGCTCCGATGGAAGCGCGGGAGCAATTTGCCAACCTCACAGGGGGCATCCAAGTTTGGATCCGCTCCTGTCTGCATGGGGGCCTGGGTTCCTTGAGCAGAGCGTGCCAGGGAAGCACGGCACGTTATTAATTCTTCGCCGAGTCCCACGCTGGCACAGGAGATACCGGAGGCAGCGCTCGCAGTACGTCCGGGAGCTTGCACGCCGCTCCCCTAGCTCGTTTCCCTCTCGATTCCTCGGTTATTTTTTCACACCACTTGCCCTTTCCGTCCTTCAGAAAAAAAAAAAAAAAGAAGGTGGAGGGAGGCCAATTATGGATTTTATTTTTTTTTGCAGAAAGATGCCCACAAAGTGTCATGTATAAATATCTCCCCACACGAGGCTTTTGTGCACAGCCCCCAGGGCTGCACAAATTGGGAGTCGTGCTTGGCTCTGGGTCTTGGAAGATGCTGCAACGGAGCAGGAGTCCTCATTTGTGGGGTAGCGCCAGGCGTTCGGCCATGGCCGTGTGCAGCCATGGGATGCTGTCGTGTTGAGATTTAATAGCAGTTTTGGATACCAAAAAGCTGCATATAATAGATGTGCAGAATAATGTTATCCTGTGACTCCTGCCTGGGGGGTTAAGAGCAGGTTCTCGCACCCGTGTGGGGCAGCCATGGCTGCTCCGAGAACCTATGGAATGGAGGCCTTCCTAGAAATCCTCCCATAAAGGATATTGCAGCCAACCTATTCCAGCATGTTAGTGTCCCCATGCTCTGGGGACACCTCCGTTATAATAGATGTGCAGAATAATGTTATCCTGTGACTCCTGCCTGGGGGGTTAAGAGCAGGTTCTCGCACCCGTGTGGGGCAGCCATGGCTGCTCCGAGAACCTATGGAATGGAGGCCTTCCTAGAAATCCTCCCATAAAGGATATTGCAGCCAACCTATTCCAGCATGTTAGTGTCCCCATGCTTTGGGGACACCTCCGCTAGTTCTTGCCCGTGGCTCTTCATCCCAGCTCTCGGGAATGTGGATAGCATGTTATTCCTTCCCCCTCTGCAGTAGCCCCTTCTGCTTCCGAGGACTTCAGCCTCCTTCTAGGGTCTTGATGTTGAAGTGTCCTGCTCCCTCGTTGATCCTTCCAGATTCCCATAATTCCACCCCAAACCTTGGGAGTGTGTCCTGCAGAGCCTAGGCTCTTGCAGTGGGGACACGGAGGAAAGCCTTCTAGGCCAGAGACCAAAACACCCATTGCAAGTAACCCCATCCCAAGGGCTCCTGCACCCAAATCCACCCTGCAGAGCCCACCAGGGACCTGAGCTCTCAGCTGGGGACGTCTATGGGGTGCAGGCGGCCTCCCTGCCAGCCCCTCGAGGACACTGGCCACAAATCACCTTCCCGCTGCCACCTGGACATCATCCAAGGGCTCCTCTTAGCTCATCAATTATCCTCGCACCGAGAGCGCTCGTTTATTTTCACCATGGTTGCTAACGGTGATAATTACATGCCAGGGAGCTGCACTGCCCTTCCTATTCCTCAGCCACTATTGCCTGGCCACGTGTCACCAGCGTGGAAAGTGTCCCTGTGCCACCAGCACAGGAGCAAGCGCCGCGTCCAGCTCCTGCTCTGGAAGCTCAACCCCAATGCTGGGGCCCTGAACAACAGCTCGTGGGAGCCCTGGGGTGCTCAGATCCAAGGGAAACCTCCACGGCTCCTCTCTTAGCTAAGGGTGAGATTGCAGGGCTGGGCAGAGCAGGGGACAGACACGGGCATGTGACCTCCAAAGGTCTCTGCCACCCTCACCCATTCTGTGCCCTTGTGACCGAGGAGTCGCCCAGTTACCTGTGTTACCCAACCATGACCGGTTTCCACACATTTTTTGCCATGAAGAACCCAAAGTTTCTAGGAAAAGGGAGCAGACACCAACACTTTGCAAACCCAGAGCAAGTTTCCCAGCTCTGTCGGGCTCTCCTCTTC